GCGTTAGAGTCCCTCTCTCCTTTTCTCAGAGGAGCAAAAAGCTCAGGTTTGGTGTCTTTTCAAAGAGTAAAGAGACCAGGAGTTGTTCCTGACTTGGTGACCAAAGACAAAATGTATCAGTTCACCATGGCGTTGAGACATCATACTTGTGCATTGTCTTCCCTTGTGCAGAGGAAATGACAAGGGGGTGGGTCCTGGCCACATCAGTAGCAGTTCTCCTAAAAGCCAACGGGCCCCTTCCCTCTCCTCGGTGCTCGTCGGGCTCCAGGCTCCCCCCCCCCCCCCCTTGAGTGCACAAATTTTTGTGCACCAGGCCTCTAGTTATATATATTGTTCTATGCCTGGGACTGTGAGAGATAGTGTATGAACAAAACAATGAGACCCCTATCCTCACCGGGATTATTCTGGAGGGCTTTTGTTCCTTATATTCAAGTGAGCATCCTGTGGAAGTAAAAGTTCTTTAGTATGAAAACCCACTGGTTTTGCCATGGGAATTGAATATAACTAAATGGTTTATACTATTTTCCCCTTGTTCTCCCTATCAACAATCACTTATGATTTTTTTCTACCATTCAATGAATTCTAATCAATTTTTATACCATTCTGAAATTTTCAATGAAAATTTCTTCCATTCTTGACTGTGCAATTTATACTTCTATATCCCAAGGACTCATTTATTCATCTGGTGTTAGCATTGTGTAGGTACTAAGAGTATATTATTAGACACAATCCCTACCCACTAGTTGGCATTGTGGTGGAGTAAACTAATATGCGAATAGACACTTTCTAACACAGAATTTCCAGTGTGACAAGACACATCTATATAGAGTGCAGAGAAAGCACAGACGCCAAAAACTCTCCACCCCAATTGGCCATCTCTTTATAGAGCCATTTCGTTGAAGTTGCTAAAGTCAGGTTAAATGAGGAGACATTTCATTTCAGGTTAGTTGTATATTTTAAGCATTTGTATGTCTGCTTTCTTGTATATAGAGATAAACAAAGGTACAAAAAAGGCTGTTATTTTTAAAACCATCATGTTATTTTCCTGCATATCTCCAAACGATAATGTAAGAGGTTCCATGTTGGAGGATTAGAGTCGAGTAAAACCCTTTCATTTTAGCGAATATGAGTCATGGGAATGTCTGTGTAGAGTAAGTTGTTCATTTTCATTCTCTAGAACTTGAAAAGAAAAAAAAATACTTGCTCAATTTGGGGATATTTTGAATATTGCCCTAACCAGACATGGGCATCCTGACCAAATAAATGATTTCTTAGGGGCCCTTTTAACCCAGTAAATTTTCGTTTCCTTCCCTCCTGTATTTTGTGAGAATTAAAACCCATTAGAAAACTCTAGAACATGTCTGTGATTTAGAAAGCATCTGTTCACATTCAGGTTGTTCATCTTTTATCTTTGAAGCATGAATGGAAGCCCTTGTGGTGTTTTTATAAGTATGGGCACATGGTGTCTCGGGTTATCCAGAAGGGCCAGTGCTCGCAGCGTGAATGCTTGAACCCAGACCAAAAGAGACAACTTGCAAAGTCACAGAACTGTCCACGTCTACAGAAGTGGGAGATGGTTCTTTATAACTCCATCAGCTGTTTCCAAATGATTAAGAGTTTGACCCAATTAGAAGAGAAAATTGCATTTTCTTCATGAACTATATGTACCTGAGAAAAGCGGAAATTCAAGTTCATTAAACATACCTCTTAATCCCTATTCTTTCCCAACCCTCCACCACAGATCTTTAAAAGAGTCACTGAAACTTAATTCTACTTAATTATTTCTAAATAATTTTTCCTCACAGAGGAATGCCTGACTTGGGATCTTGCAGCTCCTCGCTGCTCCATCAGGCCATTCGCACAGAGTGAGTTAGAGATCTGATTTTAAGTGTCCTAACTTGGACACTTAACTGTGCCATCTCCCTTAGTCCTATAGCCTCCGTTTTCTCTTTGGAAAATAGGTAGAATAACTCTTCACTGAATGAATAAATGCTTGGCTAATTCATAGGATTTGTGTGAAGAGTAAAATAATATATGTGAAAGTGCTGTGTAAAATGCAAAGCCCTAAGAGAAGTTATTTATTGTATGAGTAGTAGTTGTTCAGATAGAAGTCTTGCAGATGTGGGTTGGCTTGCTTGATCTTTGAGAATCGTTCTTCAGTTCCAGTTTGTGCCAGACAGTCCAGGTGTATGCATGTCATCGAAGACAGACTATTGCTAGCACTCTCTTTCACTCGTAAAAGTGCCCCAGTTTGGGTAGTCACTGTACTTTTTAATCATCATAGATTGGAGATTGAATGCAGAGTACAGTTGCAAGTTATTTATACCAAAGTTCTATTTTCTCTTAAAAAGTTTCCTTCTGAGAACCAGTAACTTAATTTTAATCTGACAACGTTAGGTCTATTGAGAAACAATGTGGGATGGTCATAAATGTTAAATTATTTTCATATGTTCAGTGAATGAATGAACTAACTGAGACTTACCATGTGCTAGGCACTATACTAACATTGGTACAGAATTATTTTATTTAATCCTTACAGTGATGTGAGATAGGTTCTATTGTGTCTTTATTTTATAGGTAATACGTAAAGACCCATGAAACCCATGTCATAGTTTGAGAGTTAGAGAAGTGGATAAGTAGCTCTGCGAGTGAGTGACAGTTTAGGAACTGAACTCAGCCTATCTGACTACAAGCCGGGTTCTCACATCCAATTGGTGAATGTCTATTCAGAATAACTGTACTGGGAATTCTGTTTGTTATTAAGGAGCAGACATTTAAAGCATAAGAAATAATAGAAGTTCAGTAGCTTAGGAACACAAAACGTCATACATATTGTTTGATGAAAAGAGCCAAAAGGCTAGAGTTGTGTTATGTTTCTACATAATTGTTTGCCATGTGTCTTTTGATTTTATTTTTATTATTTCCCATTTTTATTGAGATATAATTGATATGTAGCACTGTGTAAGTTTAAAGTGTACAACATATGACTTACATATATTAGGAAATGATTGCCACAATACATTTAGTTAACATTCATCATCTTATGTACTGGCTATCCAAAAAAAAATGTATACACAATTTTGAAAATGAAATGTATTTTAATAAGCACTGCCTTTATAATTATTCAAAGTGTATGTATATGTTTTTTGGGACACCCTATAGATACAAAAAACAGGATCTTGTTCCTTGTGATGAGAACTCTTAGGATTTACTCTCCTTTGTAATGTTTTTATAATGATTGATTTATTTGAGGGAGAGAGAGGAAGGAAGAGAGAGAAAGCAAGAGAAACATTACTTTGTTGTTCCACTTACTTATGCATTTATTGGTTGATGCTTGTATGTGCCCTGACCAGGTATCCAGCATGTAATCCTGGAATATCGGGATAACTCTCTAACCAACTGAGCCACCCAGCCAGGGCTATAATGTTTTTAAATAGAAGAAAGATGCTAGGAAACTCTCAAAAAATTCTAGCAAAGTCTATCCCTGGAAGCATAGTTGTACGTACGAATTGTAAGATGTAGCATTATATTATTTTTCAAGTTTACTGGATAAAAAGATACTTATCTGTGTATTTAATTAGTTTATTTTTAAAAAATATGTTCTTCCTCCCATGAGATAATGTTTTTTATCTCATTTTCAGACCCTCCACCTGTGCTGCGGGTTGATGACCGGCAGCGACTGGCCCGGGAGCGGCGTGAGGAACGGGAAAAGCAGCTAGGTACTCTATTTCTAACCCTCGCTTGGTCTTTAAGGAACACTGTTGTTGAAATGGTACTTTCTCCCCTCTAGAGTAATGGACACTTAACATTAAGCAAATGGACATCACTGTAATAACCATGCTCTCTAGCATGCCTTTATGAGTTTTGCAAATTAATTGTGAAACAGAATTTAGTATGTGATATAAACACAGGACCAAGTTTTAAGCGACCATCAAGTCTGGCCCAGGATTAAGGTCATTTGCACGTCTTCTTATATGGTAATCACAGTTTAATGTGACACTGGAGGAAATGTATATATGAGAGCCATGATGGCTCAGCTTAGGTTTTACAACTTAAAAAATGCAAGGACAGTAAGCATATGGTTCTTTTTTATGGGAACAATTATGAGACTAGAGACACTGCTAGGGGGCACTTGCTGCTTTCCATGTTAAAATAATGCTGCTGTTGAATTTATAGACAGATGCTGCCACTTTGCTGCCAGGAAAAGCACAAGACCTCGTGCTGAGGGTTCTGACTTTTCTTTTGTTATCTGAGGCCCTTCTGAAAGGTTAGCAACTACAGTATTTGCCATATAATCACCTAGAGAGCGGGGTCACAGCACTAGCTTACCAGGAAGCCGAGATCAGAGCACTCAGCAATCATTCTCATTGTCTTCCAGAACATAGAGCAAGCATGCTGGTGCCAACTCCTCCTTTACTTTGCAGTCCATTATGCAAAGTTGCTAAAACAGGATCCTCTCTTTATGTATGTTGAAAAGATGAATTGCCTGGTCAGTATGTCTGTGTTTCTGAAGTGTCTGGGTATTTTAAGACTAGGACTGACGTAGGTTGCCAAAAGTTCTATTTTGTAAGAGTTCATGTTTCAATTGGGAAACCCAGCCCCTGTAGCCCATCTTTTTTAAAATTCTTATTCAAGAACCCAAATTTGTGAAATTCCCTAGAATATGGTTTTCAAAGTCTATTGGCATTATTTACATTCTCTGGACACAGGCCTCTTTCTCTGCCTTGCCGTAATGATCATATGACGTCATTCCTTTGGCTGCCGTTTTTTCGACACGAATTTCAACAACTTGCTGTGCCTAAAGTTTTGGCCCAGTCTTGAAGCCCCCTGTCCCTTGTGGATTTCTGCAGGTTGGTAGGTTCCTGGAGAGAAGGACTGTCTATGGACTGTGCCCACTGCCCCTGGTCAAGTTTGGTTTGACAGATGGGCCAGAACTGAGAAAGAGGTTAAAGGTAGAGCTCCTGAAGCAGGAAGAGCAAAAAGAACAAACTGACGACTGCCCTGGGTGGCTGGTTTAGGATCCATCCGAGTATCAGCACTGTGTCCTTCATCTCCACTTTCCACCCTATCCCGGTAGGGCCAGGTCCTACACTGTTAAATGTCACCTTAGAATTGCAACGTGGATTCATGTGTACTTGAGTGGAAGTAACTCAACAGCATCAGCCTACTCCTGTATGACTTAAATCCCATCGTGAATTAGCTTTTACACATTAAGTCATACCTTTCCCTTTGGTTTCTTTGCCTTTCAACGCCATGCATTATTAATTATTTTGTAGGAAGCATGACTCATTAATTTATATATTCAGAACTTTTATTTGTCAGGTTTTGTGTTGAAAAGGTGAGTTAAGGTGGAGACCCAACCCTCAAGGGCTAGTTGTGGTCCAGTGAGGAAGCGGATGAACACAAAGCAATTATAATACCGGCTGGTTTTGAAGGAGTGTGCCAAGGGGTGTTGAGAACCACAGAAGCACGTAACCCAGCCTGGGGATGTCAGGTGCCACCTGAGCTTCCAGCTAGAGGGCGAAGCAGAGTCATCCAGGGAGACGGAAGAGGCAGGGACGGGAGGGCAGTGATGCAAAGACAGGTGGGAATCCAACATGCTCCTCAGATTGTTATATGGGTCAAAGTAATTTTCAGATTACTGTATTATCCTAATCTCACAATTTTACTTCTTTGGTGAACCAATATATACTATCGAGTGTTTCTCTTTCTTCTTAACCCTGCCAAGTTAAACATAGTTTTCCTTAATTCTGATCTCATCTCTTTTGTTATTAAGAATCATACTTTTAATGAAATAGATCAATTCTAATTTTGTATTTGCTTTAGTTGCATTGTATTTTTAAATTTTATAAGTGTCCTTTTGCTTATTCTTTTCCATTTAAGCCATCATAGTAGAAACTAAGTCTTGAGCGGCTCCCTGGAATCTTTTAAATATACAAATAAACATTCTGAAAATGCACCTACTTACATTTGTAAAGAGTTGTCTGAAGTCTAGCCTCTAATTTAAGCTGTGCCTTGGAATACATAAGGGTGATTTCTAATCTTTAGCACTAGAAGAAAATCAAAGGGCACATCTGACGAACTACCCATAAACCATGCTTTGCAGAAGCTATGGGAGCAGTTGAATTTTTTTTTAAGGGGGTGAGAGACTGCCTGTCACTGAATAGCAGATCTTTGGATTGTGCTTTTTTGAAAACAAAAAAATAGTTGGTAACATCAGTATGTTACCAAAAAAGGGGGGGGGGGGTCCATTCTAGAAATTCCAACAAAGCAAAATTTAAAGTGATTGGCCAGTGAAACTGATTATGCACTGTTGGATGTAGGTTGAAATTAACATTGAAAGATTCTTTTTAATCCACGTTTTTTAAAAAAGCAAGGTAGAGAGAATAAAGGTCTTTTCATTTTGTTTGTTTTTTTTTTTTTTGGTGACATATCATGTTTGTACTGATTTCATATGGGAGGCCTTATTAATGACTTTCTGTGGGTTAAACCTCTGAGTCATGCTTCAATGCTTTTATTGTAGGATTATGTCATGTGGCCTGCTCTTTCTACATTATCTTTCCATTTATCACATAAAGTCAGGCATACATCTTCATGTTTGGGATTGTTCTCTCTCTTTGGTTGAACATTTGGACTCTGAAAGCATTAATTTTCTGCCTTAAAAGCTTTATACATGAAGGAATCGCCTCAACCATTCTATTCCATCTGACTCTATTCAGGCCATTTCTTCAAACTTCTCCCTCTTGACTTCTGCGTCTTTTTTGCCGTCTCTCTTCTAAACTTTAATTTCGTTTTTCCCTTGGGGGGAGGGGGGAATCTTATTTGTTCTCATGGTTTCAACATCTCCAGCTACTCATAAAGCAGTCGATGTATTCCTACTATTGAAACTCACCTTCTATACAACTAAATTCTTTATCAACTTTCACTCTAAAATTTACTCCTTTGGGTCATTTCTCTGTATAGATCAATTGCATCAGTATTTTGGGGGCCCTAAGAAATTATTCCTTTTAGCTATTTTAGATACTCCTGGTGCTGCTAGAGAAACTGGTATCTTTCTACCTGTGTTAGCATTGGGGATTTTTGAAGAATAAAACCTTCTCTCTTCCTTGGTGGCTCAATGCTGTGCACTGACCAGTCTCCACACTGGCCTGTTGAGCCACTTGTAGCTACCAGTGGTCAATCTGGACTCAGCCTAGTCCTCTAGCTCAGGCTGCAGCTCTCTCTAGCCCAGTATGTAAGTGCAAGTTGCCACACTTCCTTTATCCTTAATCCATTTATTCATAAGACTGGCTTCCTCTGTCTTCAGCATAAATCTCAGATCCATGACTTTAAATTTGCTGCCTCTGCTATCATCCTAGTCCAGGCCTTAATGCATTTATAGTATTTCAGTCACCAAATCTATCTGACTGATGTACTTCATCAGTCGAGCTCTGTCACAGTTAATACCAGTCTTTCTTTTTGACACCTTCTTAGTCTTCATTATCTTTCACCTTTTTATACTCTACTGATCTTTTTCTAGTTGGATTTTATATTGTTTATATTTTAAGCTTTGATTGTTTATATTTTAAGCTTTTCAAGGGCATAACCATTGCTTTCCAATTCTTTGTATGCCAATATGTGGCACAGTGTTAAGTATAAGCAGATGTGTAATAAATATTTACCGATTTTCTTGATTTTTATTTATTTTACCCTAATTTTTATTTTATTTTATTTTATTTTTAATATATTTTATTGATTTTTTACAGAGAGGAATGGAGAGAGATAGAGAGCTAGAAACATCGATGAGAGAGAAACATCTATCAGCTGCCTCCTGCACATCTCCCACTGGGGATGTGCCCGCAACCCAGGTACATGCCCTTGACCGGAATCGAACCTGGGACCCTTCAGTCCGCAGGCCGACGCTCTATCCACTGAGCCAAACCGGTTTTGGCAACCCTAATTTTTAATTAAGTACTAATATTAACAATACCTTAACATTATTCATAAACAGTAATATTAATGTTTATTAAGCAGTGTTCTAAACACTTCACTATGTATTATCACATTTAGTAGCAAATTAACACAGTGGTTGTACTTTTTATTGTGTGGGCCTATCAAATAATAGAATGTCACTTAATAGAATGTCACTTATTTTATTTTTAGCTTAAGGAAGGAACCGAAAGAATCGAGAAAAATGGAATAGTTAATAGACCCTCTTTTCTTTCTGCCATATCAGCTGTTAAGCATGTTTTTAATTTGTACAAGGTCACCAAGATCCCTGTTAAAATTCCTCAGCAAGTAGTGACATTGTCATGTTAAAAGTCCTCAACAAATGGTGACGGGTGTTAAGTGAAACCGATCCCTATGCCCTCCATGCTGGCAGTGGACTTCCTGAGATTTCAGAGCTGGGCACATATGCAACCCTCATGTGAAGGAAAGGTTAGACTACTTCCCCATTCAAGTGCGATGCAGCAGTGCCAAGTGCCCGCTCCATTTGACACAGCAAGAGGGCAAAATACAAGCAGTTTTTGACAACTTTTTGAGAAAATTTCATGTCATTGATCATTTGTCAGCCTTGGAGTCCACTGAGTACAAAAATCTGTCTGTATGAACTAGGAATAGATCCTGGTTACCAATTTTTCTTCAAAAACATTTACAAGGATCAGAGCACGTACAATTTGTGTAACAGTATAATTTTTTATTCTACGTAGCTTAAAGGAATACTAACCATCACCACTCT